GGACTACAACTCTCGGCGGCCACCTCTGCTATGGCGCATCAGGCCCTGCACACGACGGCGCGCATGGAATAGCGGGTACCAGCTCTGATACCAGTAAGAAGGTTGGGGGGAGTCGTCGGGAAGATGCCATGTCCCTTGAGAGAGAGAGAGAGAGAGAGAGAGAGAACTCCGTCCACTGGACGAATAGAATCCACAGTGTCAGTGGGGGAGGATGGTTGGGGCAGTGGGGGAATAGGTTCGACGTGGAGGAGGAGGACAGGCACAGCCTATGAGGGTAGGTGCAGAAGGCGGGAAATGTGGGCGGGGAGGTGAGGGAAGGTGGGTGTGGTGGGCAGAGAAGGTGGGCTCAGTGGGTGGGGAAGTGGGCGCAGATGGGCTACTCTACGCTCGGCACTACTACTTCGACTCTCTACGATCGGCGTACTCTACGCTACTACGCTCGACGCTACTCTACGCTGCTACGCTCAACTTTGCTACTCTCTCTCTCTCTCTCTCTCTCTCTCTCTCTCTCTCTCTCTTTTCTGTTTTTTTGGTCAATAGAAGGGGTGGGAAGGTGTGCACGACTGTCTTTTCTTTTGGCGGGCTCGATGCTCGACTTCGCTCGATTTGGACTCTACTTGGACTTTGCTCCACACACACGTGCACCCACATACACACCCACCCACCCACCCACACACACACACACACACACACACACACACACACACACACACACACACACACACCTGTCCATGATCTGATTCGGGCACGTGCTGCTCGGTTTCGTCTTTGCCCTGTGTCTTCCGGGAAATGCTCCAAGATGCACGCCTAGCAATATGGATGCTGGAATGTTTCGTAGTGAACAGCAAATGCCAAGCAGATGGATATTGAATAGTTGATTCGTATGTTATACCCCTCATACTTTTGGCTTTCGTTTGCAAAATCTCTGTTTTCTTTGCTGGCAGAGGTGCAACAGGTAAGCTAGTTTGGTCATCAATCACGTTCACAATCGTCTGCTTATTACATTGACTCTCCTTCTGTATCAATCCTTTGTTTCACCTGATTGTTTGTTTTTTTTTTTTTCCATAATTGAGTCCGACTCGTATTCGTATCCAATGATCTACTTCTGTTGGTTTGTTGTTGTTTGCAGGTTGCCCTCAACTCTATTTACTCTCTTGACTGCCAAATTTTTCTGTGATGGTCTCCGGTCATTTGGCGAGAACAAACACCATGGGCTGTGGCGAACACACTGGCCAGTTATCTCCTTTCTGATAAACGGTCAAGCCTGGCGGTTGGTGGGAACCGCGGTTGATTCGGTTCATGTTAAGGGTCTGATTCTGTGTCCCCACAGAACACCACTACCTGGGCCTTCCAGAAGAAATGCGCTCATGTTTCACATGCAGGCGGCTATGTACGGTTTCTCCGTTTGCTGCTGGCTGGACCACGGGTACTTCACTGGAAACAGTGCCTTTCTCACTGGGGCGATTGACCCAAACAGGTGCTTTGGGGGTGTGTGTATTAAGTGCAACCTTTCCGCCTTCAGAGACCTGAATTACTGCTGCGGGGGGTTGGCGGTGACGGACACAATCAGAAAGACGGATCTGTTGCAGTGCACAGGGGGTGGCAGCCTCTGTGCCGAAAGTGGCGTTATCGTCGACGATGAAGCCCTCACGGACAGCCGCGGGAGGATCGCAGATAGCGACTGCGGTGCTGAAACCCTCGGGCCCGGCACTTCCGGATACCGTAGCCTTGGCGAAGAAGAAGATGGGTGCCAGGAGTTGGATGGTGTTCGACATGAACGGGAACACGATGATGCTGGAGGCGGACAAGTATGCGATAATGCACAGGGTTGGCATTCATGCGCGAGATTTGCGCATTCTCGATCCAATGCTGTCGTATCCGTCAACCATCCTTGGACGTGAGCGGGCCATTGTTCTTAACTTGGAGCACATCAAGGCGATTGTCACTGCGGAGGAGATGCTCCTCCGCAACCCCATGGATGAGCATGTTATCCCAGTCGTTGCGGAGCTGCGCCGGCGTCTCCCGGTCAATGATGCAATGCATGCTGCCTATGCTGGTGCACATGGCTACGATCCCAGTCGACAGGATCATGACGGTCACGAAGGCGCAACCAGCCCTTGGAAGAAGGTTCCGGGAACAGATGTTGTGGATGGCGATGTTGACATTCCACCCTTTGAGTTCCGAGCGTTGGAAGTGATCCTGGAGGCAGTGTGCAGTTTCTTGGATGCACGATCAACGGAACTGGAGAATCAGGCCATGCCGGCGCTCGACGAGCTAACGTCGAAGATCAGCAGTCTGAATCTGGAGAGGGTAAGGAAGCTGAAAACGCTGATGACGAGACTGACAGCGCGGGTGCAGAAGGTCCGAGATGAACTGGAACAACTCCTGGATGACGATGATGACATGGCGGAGTTATTCTTGACCCGAAAGATTCAGCCGGGGTCACCTGGTGCCTCCACAGGGTTGCACTGGGCGCCAACATCCCCAACCATAGGGTCGAGGCTGTCTATACGCGCTTCACGAGCTAGCACTGTGAGCATGATTAGCCATGACGACAACGACGTCGAGGAGCTGGAAATGATTCTGGAGGCGTATTTCATGCAGATCGAGGGGACATGCAACAAGCTGAATGCATTGCGTGAGTACATCGACGACACCGAGGATTACATCAACATTCAGCTCGATAACCATCGAAATCAGCTCATTCAGATTGAGCTGATCATGAGCACAGCAACTTGTATTGTTTCCGTGTACAGTGTTGTTGCCGGAATCTTTGGGATGAACCTGCCAAACAAATGGAATGAAGATCCAAATGCCTTCAACGTTGTGGTGATCACCACGGCGATTGTTTGCTTTATCATGTTTATTGTTATGCTTGGCTATTTCCGCTTCCGGCGCCTGATTGGGATGTAGTCGCGGCGCCTTTGAGAACGCTTCTACACCATGACGGCAATTGTTTGCATCATCTTGTTTGCGGTTGTGCTGGAATATTTCAGAATTTTCGGTTTCTGGCGTTTGATTTGGATGTAGTAGCAACTGCAACAAAGCTTCTACTGTCAGTTGCTTGTCAAGCTACTCCTGGTGCACTACAGAGCCTGACATCTGACCCGCGTCACGGACTGATATGACCACGTTTTTTTACCATTGTTGCACTGCCGGTTGCATGTTGAGGAGCTCAAAAGCTGCAGAGCAGCAAGGTCTCTTCAATGGCATCCTTTGGCAATGGGGTAGGTGGCATGCACCAGTGTTTTGCATGTTTTGGCTTGTAATCCGTCATCTGTGTGGTTGAGATGGGCCTACTTCATAATTTACGCAGTCAGATTAGACTGATCTTGCACCCATTGTGTGAGCCGTGCTGTGGTTTGATTGTTGAGGAGTTGAAGTTGCGCAGCCCAGCTAGGTCCGTGGTCGTGATGGAGCCTGATTTGACCTATCTCAGCCATCTGGAAACTGTAATCAGAGTCGGGTTGCCGTTCAAATGTTGATGAGTTGAAGGTGCAGCGCAGCTAGGTGGTATCTGGTGTTGTGCTTATCGTGAACGGGTACGGCATGAGTTGGTCCTTTTGTGGCGATGATGGGCACCTGTCTCCGTAATATGATGACAGTTGCAACTGCAATGGATGAAGCAAATGCTGCAGGATGTTTATTGCGTCCCTGGAGGTTTGGCGCAGTTCTCTCTTGGGCTGTTGCAGGACGATTTTGAATTCCTTTTCGAGGCATTTTCTGGAGGCTGCCATGTGTCCTGGCGGTTTAGGAGGATGAGACATTCGCAGCGTATTGGACACCTCCGCCGACTCCTCCCGATTGTGAGCTGAGTCTGCATCATGATTGTGACAGTCACAGTGAATCCGCTGTGCATGGGAAAATCCTTGAGGAGTTTTATGACGAAGGAATGGGCGCTTCCAGGACTGCGAGTTGACTGGTTTTGTTTTGGGTCATCTGCTTCATCCCTGTGTGAAATTTGTTTCCGTCTTACGTGTTGTGAGCCCCTGGACGATTGGCGTGCGCCTCTTATTGATCAGGTTTGCGCTAACAAACCTGCCGACGATTTGCAATTGTGCACAGCTGTTCTGTTTGCCGCTCATTGATGTGGATGCAATGGGCCCACTTTCAATTTCCATTTTATGGGGCCTGATTTATGGGACCTACCTGCTGCTGATCTCCAATTGTGCATCTGCTTGTCCCATGCGCGTTTATCGGTGTGATTGCGCTGACTATGTGACCAGCCTGCCGGTGATCGCTAATTGTGCACTGATGTCCAGTTTCAATGGAGGATGGCATTGCCCGGCAACAAGCTGGAGGAGAGAGAGGGAACCTACCTGTCCCATATCTGTAGGTTTGTTTTTGTCCTTTCCTCCTTTTCCCCCGCCGTGACGCTCTTAACAAAACCCCAGAGCATTTAACACCAAACAAAAAGAGGGGAGAAAAAGGGGGGGGGGGGGGGGGGGGAAACACTCTGCAATACTACCACAAACTCCCTGTCTGTGGAAGTTTCGCCCTGGGCATGGCTGTCGGTTTTTTCGTTTCAGCTTTTTCAGGGTTTTCTCGCTATGCACGGCAGCAGATGTCTGTGTGTCGTCAACATCTCACATTTCATGTTTAGTGTGTCCTGTCATCTCAAGGTGATGAGATCCATCAGTTTTCTTGTGTTGGTTATTGGCACCATTATGATAGTCTCAAGAGTCAAGACTCACAACAGCGATGACGCAATCACTGGAGCTCGCATATTTGAGACACCAGATCCTTCACACGGTTTTCTCTGCCTTTTTTTTTTCGGTGGAGAGTTAGTGAAGTGTTTCGGAAGCATTTTGGTTGCTGTCACTGCTGTGGATATTGGTGGGTGAGGCGTTGGTGCGAACTTGGTGGCGGTGGCGACGATGATGGCGGCAGTGGCGATTTTTAGATAGGTCATTTGCGGCAATTGTGAGTTTCTTGTCCATGTAGATGCTGCAATGGCTGCAGTGTGGAGTGCAGATTCCGTCTGCATGGAAGTATCCAAAGAACGGTTGCGTCTCATAACTGTGAGTTGAAAGGTCTCGTGTTTGATCGTCAGAATCCCACTGTGTATTGCAGTCTCAGGGTCCTGTTGCTATATATTATGCAACTTCATTTCATTTCTGTTAAACATCTCAAACGTCTTGTGTGCCCGTGGTCGAGATGGTGGTGGGTCTATGTGATTGGTAAGATCGATTTGTGCAGACCTGCTCTGACGATGATCCGCAAGGACCGCAACCCAAACACGGAAAAGCGGAGGCGGTGGTTATCGCTCAACGGAAAGGCATGCCGAGTGTGACTTTTGCATTAAAAAGGCTTTGTAACTTTGTGCATTGGTATTTTCTTCAGGGTGTGCACCCCCCCGCCTCCCTCCCCTCCCGTCCCCTTCTCCTTTGTTGGAAGATTCGCCTGTGTTGGTAGTTTGATGCGTTGGGGTTCTGTTATAGAAATGTCACTGGAGAATAGTGGTTAACCTGTCGGAAGAGTGTCATCGTCGGTCTTTGGTGGACAAATATAGTCCACGGACGTGGTGCCCCCACTTTTCTCTGTTTAGGTCCTTAGGAGCCCTTAACACCAGAGATGTGTGCTCGGGAAATCGATTTTCAGCTCTTTTAGCAGAGGGCGGTTGCAGGTTGGGCAAAAAAAAATATTTCGAAGGCTACACACACACACACACACACACACACACACACACGCACACACACACACACACACACACACACACACACACACCTGTCTCTTATACACATCTAGATGTGTATAAGAGACAGGAGGAGGAGTTGATTTATATTTAGCCTAGGGAAAATAGGAAGGAGGTAAGAGAGAAGATGAGGTAATCTGGAGTCACACAAGTGAAGGGATGTTCTCTTCAGTCAAGATGTGTTGGTGTGACACACACACTCTTATGTTTTGTTAATGAAGGGATTCCTTTCTGCTTTCCAGATTGAGATTGGCGGATCAATCGTTGTTGCTATGATGTATTGTTCCTGAAGAGAGAGGGGGAGAGGGGGGGGGGGGGGGGGGGGGGTTGAAGCTCTTGCAGGAGCTCGGGTTAAATAGAAGCCGCAGTCATGTCTTGTTTCTTTAGTTGCTCATTTCGGTATGGGTGGTAGTTGAGGGTACGAAGTGGGGAAGTCGTGACAGATGGAATAAATGGCACACTGTGTGCCAACAGTGTGAGACGAGCGGTTGGAAAAGGAGTTGTGGAGTTGAAGAAAAGAAGATGGAAGCAACAGAGCAGATCATTCCTCAATCTTATACCAAAACGCCTAGAGTCTGAATCCTTGTTCGTTTCCTCCTTTCTCCTCGTCCACACCAGCCCCCTTCCCCTCCCCACTTCTCCTCCTCTTCCTCTATCATCTCAGAAGGCTCCCTTGTTAGCCAATTGTATCGACTAACAAACTGGGTTTTAGCTGTTTGTACCATCTGTTAACGGGCTAATAGCCAGCCGTTAGTCGGTCATTCCAGGTAACAAACTGGTCGTTGGCCGGTTGTGGCGCCAACTGCTAGCTAACACTGGTTAACAGGCAGCTTCTTAGGCTAACACTTGTTATCTGCTAGCTAACACTGGTTAACAGCCGCTTTGACAACCAGCTTCATAGGCAGTTACCTGGCTAACACTGGCTAACGGCCAGGTAAGAGACGGCTGACTGGCTAACAAACTGGCTGTTGGCCAGAGTAGTAGCTAAGAGCCAGCTACGACCGGCTAAGAGGCAGCTGACACGACCGGCTAACAGCCAGGTAACACCGGTTAACTTCCAGGTAACAGCTGGCTAACTGGCGGTTGGCAGGTAATATAGCTAACAGCCGGCTAACAGCCGGCCAACCCTGGCTAACAGCCAGGCAACAACCGGTCTAAAAGCCAGCTTCTTAGCCTGGTTTTAGCTGGCTGTTAGCCTGTTATACTGGATGGTAAACCGGCTGTTAGCTCGCTGTCAGCTAGCTTTTAGATGGCTGTTAGCCTGCTGTTAGCCGGTTATGCTGGCTAAAAAGCAGGCTGTTAGCAGGTAGCAGCAGGTGTTTAACTGGCTGTTAGTTGGCTGTTGTGCTGGCTAAGAAACTGCCTGCTAGCAGCCTGTGAGCTGGCTGTTAGCCGGTTCTTAGCTGGCTGTTAGCTGGCTGTTAGCTGCCTGTTAGCTGCCTGTTAGCTGCCTGTTAGCTTGTTCTTAGCTGGCTGTTAGCCGGTTCTTAGCTGGCTGTCAGCCGGTTCTTAGCTGGCTGTTAGCCGGTTCTTAGCTGGCTGTTAGCCGGTTCTTAGCTGGCTGTTAGCTGGCGGTTAGCCGGTTCTTCGCTGGCTGTTAGCTGGCTGTTAGATGGCTGTTAGCTGGTTGTCCTGTCAAAGAAACTGGCTGTTAGCTGATTGTATTGGCTAACAAACTGGCTGTCAGCTGGTTGTACTGGCTTAGAAATCGGCTGGTCGCTGTTTGGACCGGGTTACGTGGCTGCTAGCCAGTTGTAACGGCTGACGAACTGACTGTTTGCTGGCTGTACGTCGCACTTAGCTTAATTGTAGAAATGATTCTATAATATCTATATATGATAACCAGATCAAGTGTTCACAACTTCAAGTGCTGAAAGTTCACATTTGAAACCCTGTTCAAACCATCAGTCCTCTGTGGGCTGAGATACATTGCTGCCAGTGCAAGTGGAGGCAGCTCGATGTTTGGTACTGGTCTGCCTGTATCTGGTCAGATGCGCTAATTATGCTCGGTATATGCGGTAATAATGTTTGTATCCGTGGAGGGTCTGCAGATGCCTCTCCCAAACTGTTGGTTTATTTATAAAAAAAAAAAAAAAAAAAACCTGTTGGTTTAAAATAGTAATGATTATTTTCTTTGTGATTAATGCCAGTGGCTTTTTTCTGCTTCCAATCATAAATATTGAATCCTTCTTTTCTATGGGAACGGTACATAGTGGGTACTGTTTGATTTTTGTTTTTAAATCTGTGAAATTTGAAATGTGGAAATTTGAAATTGGAAAATTCAAAATTTCGAATTTTGAAATTGGAAAATTTTGAAGTTGGAAATTTTGAAATTAGAAAATTAGAAAATTTGAAATTGGAAATTTGAAATGCATTACTATTTGAGACCTATGCAGTCACATCTCCTCCCCTCCGGAGTCCGGACTGATGTTCTTGAAATGCATGAAAATTTGAAAATTGGAAATTGGAAATTTGAAATGCTGGTAGTTGAACTGTTATCTAAAGCTCAAAAAAAAAAAAAAAAAACACTGTTACCTAAAGCTCTGCGCCATTAGCACAACGCTTTGTCTTGTTCTTGAAGAGACGCAACATTTTAACGTATGTTATTGATGAAATTTATTCAATGCAATCAAATGAAATGTTTTCTTAATCCTAATTTTTATGTTAGATTTATAGGCTACCAGAGTAGCCTGGGGTAAGTTGCCTGGGTGGACAGAAAAATAAAAATAAAAATACAAAAATAAAAAAAATTAGGCAAGGAATATGAGCGAGGGCGATAGACAGAAATCCAAATTGCAAAATCACGCTGTAGTCCAGATAGTCATGTACCAAGCAAAAGAGCGCAATGCACCAAGATACCATCCAAATAAGAGCAAAACAATGAACTCAAATGTCAATGTTGACCCTCTCTGGCCACACCAACATAGTATCCAAGGCCGCTCATCCAGATCGGCGCTCAGCGGCCAGCCTACCCTACTCAGTCTATCTACCTAGACTACATTTATGCAACAGGATCACGTCAAAGTTGAAGACCAATGTACGTGACGTTGTCGCCAATGCAGGCTGCGAGCATATACTAGGTACGGCTCTGTCCTCTCCTTATCACCCCCTGTCTCCCCACAGCATGCTCGTCCTACCCAAGGACAACCATTGCCATCACCTGCCCGCGCCCCAGCAGCCCAGCTATGGCCGCCGTTTGCCCGCTGTCACCGCAGCACTCTCTCACCTCTCATCGCACGTGCAAAGCATCCAGCCTGCCTGCTAACGTCTTCCCCCGAACATAACGCACCCTGAAAATGAATGTAGACAAGCTATATTTCCGGCCAGATACAGCCAAAATAAGGATGCGTTGTGTTCGGGGGAAGACGGTAGCGCAGTGTGTCGCATGACAAATTGACAATGCAGCAGCGTGGCCGTAATGCCTGCCCAGGCCAGAATATCCTCTGGTTTGGGCAGGGCACTTTCCTTTATGGAAAGTGCAGCCCTGCATCTGGGTCCTTGGGCCTGGCGTGCGTGTGCCGAGTAGCTTCAAGTTGGCCCTGAGTGTCTGCGCCCAGGCCCATTCAGACACTTGCCTGGCCCACAGCTTCAAGATGCGCCCAACCACCCCACGCGGTCTGTCATGTGTTCCCTCCTGTCTGATGGGCCGAGAGGCCTGCTTCCACGTCGAAGCTTCCAGGAATTTGGAGGCTTCTTTGAAGATGCTGATTCTCAGGAGCAAGGCCTCGTTAACCACCTGGCCGGTGCCAACTGTCTGGCGCCCAAAAATGCAGGAATGGTGAAGTGGAACAGGGCCCCATGCCGAATTTAGGTGTGCCTTCACTTAGGGAAGTTAGGGCGGGCACCTTGCTTGCTGGGGGGGCCTTGGTCATGAGGAGGCTGTGACCCAGCGGCCTTTTGTGCGGCTTAGTCCTCGTAATTATTTTGTAATTTTGATTTTTATTTCAAATTTTGGTAAAGATTTTGGATGTGACCCTGAGGTGAAAGTTCTATAGTTTGTTTTGCTGCATGACATTGTTTTCTTTTTCCAGATTTTTTGGATGTTTTTGGTCCTCGCACGGCGGGGTCGCCAGGTCAAACAAGGTCTACCGGGCGGCCCGGTCAAACAAGATCTATCGGGCGGTGCGGCGGGTAGCCCAGTTAGATTTACTTAACATGTTTGTAACAACTCAGCTCAAATATGCATCCGCCGTGGGCTGTGGGTCGTCGCTTTTGGTCAAAGGCCCGAAACAGGGGTCAGGATTCAAAAGTCATGCCCTAAGTCGTGGTAATGCCTGGACGAAAGCCTGATGTCAAAGGGTACCGAGGGCAAGGTCGAAACTGGCCTTCAGAGGCCCTGCATGAAGGAGTTGACGCTGGGAAAATCAATGGTCGACCCCTGCTTGGGAATCCAGGCCCAGAAGTCAAAGTCAACCCGCTGGCCAGCCTCGGCCGTACATCGGATGCACTTCATTGGTTGTTTGCAGGTATCCAGAAGAATCCGCTCCAAGCGGGACACGTGGGAATCTGCAAATGTACGACTTCCAGGCCATTGGCTGCCGACAGATCTGAGCTGTCGTACCCAGGAAACCAGAGGCTGGTCAACGTGAGTCAACACTATAAGTTGATCCAGCCCCTGCTTGACGCTGGGTTGATGCTAGTGCGACGTCGTGAGACTGCCGGAGCTTCATGCTGGTGCCATTCTGTGTATGGGCGCCAGCCGTGTGGGTGATTATGCTGGTGTGCCCATAGCCATATTGATTGCAAC